ACAGTTGAAATAATTGCATAAATCGTAGACTAGCAGGTCTTATCACGGAATTAATAATGAGTCTTAATATGGTCATGCTACGAAATTGTAAAATCATGTATTTTCTTGTTACCAATGATACGAAATAAGATGCAAAATGCAATAATGATTTTAGGAAGTATCTTAATTCTGTAATATGTTTATTAAGTAAGCAAATAATATATTGCCACTTGGTATTCTACAATTAAAAAATAAGGTACACATGCGTATCATACACACAGATATACACAGAATACCAAAATCTAATCAAGTAAGATTGTGATTTTTATAAATCACTCGCAATAAAACAGACGTCCTGAGACATAAATATAGAAGAAAAGACGTCAAAAATATAACTGATACTTTCAGTTAAAAGAAGGAAACCTACATCGTAGATTTCCCCGTGATAAGACCTGTTAGTCTAAGATTTATGCAATTATTTCAACTGTGATTGCGGTCTTTACGTCATGCTCATTAACGGCAATATAAGTAAAAATAAATAAAATTTCTTTTTTATATTAAAACATCATTTTTATCCTTTCAAACATTTTTTGAAAATAAGTTCTACGTTCAAAAGTTTAATTCTGCTCAATATAAATAAATATGTGTACATACATGTAAAACAATGGCCTTCTTGTTTAAAAAAAATGTTCTTTCCAAATAATATAAATTTTCATATTACAGCATAAATGAAAACATGTTAATGTTACTGTAAACTAAATAAACATTTTGTCCACAAACTTTACATGAGACTAATGCCCGGCTTCGCAAAAAAAATTTATTAAGTTTTTTATTTCTTCTGATTATATTCTAAGTAGCGCAATTTCTTTAAAAATCATTTTTTTGCCAAGCTGGGTATTTGTATTATTATTTCGGAACCTCTGATCTGTATCCAATATATCCTTATTTTGATTCCTTTTCTTTCTTTCTGATAGATATTTAGTATTTATATATAGTATTGATATTATTAATAGTACAATTTTTGATGTTTTAAATTAGAATTTATTTGGCAGAATTTGTTTCAGCTTTTAATTTTGAATATATTTTAGAAGATTAGCATTAATTGTTATGGTGGAATATGAAATAACTATTTTTTGAAGGTATAAGATGAATATTTATTGAGGTATTTGAATAGTTTAATATGTTAATGTTTTTTGGACTTTAATTATTTTGAAACGAAATTATTACTGTGGATATGTTTTATAATAAATTCATAAATTTATATTAAAAAATTACTTAGTCTTTTTAAATTATATGGTAATAATAATAATAATAAAAAATTGTGTTAAGACAGACATTCAATAAATTAAATAAGAGCTAATAGAAAATTATTATTTCCACATTGTTTTTAAAATATATTCTTCGATATTAACTATTATTAGTAAAATTGTTATCTAAATGTATTGGTGATAAAAAATTAATGTAAACAATAAATATTATTATGTCAGTATTTGATAATGAAAAATGATGAGATATAGTAAGAGATATAGATGAGTAAATAAAATGTATTAAAGATAAGACTGTCTTAAAAATACTTGTCTTAAAAAAACTTGTCTTAAAAATATGTAAGAAAATGGATATTATGGAATGGATTGCGATCCTAATAATGTTAGTAAAATAAAATAATTAATAAAAATTTAAAAAATATTTTATTTAAAGAGTGCAATCTTATAATATTTATCAAAGATTTTATTCATGGTAAAAAATAAAACATTATAATTAATATTAATAAAGTTAAAACTCCTAATATTTAATTTCAAACTCCTTTGATTAATTATCGAAGAATTACATAAACAAATAAAAAAAATATCTATAACAAAAATTTATATATATATAACTCTAAATAATTAACTCATACAATATATATTCTTTAAAAAAATTTATCTATCATCACATTTATCTATCTATCATGAACTGTCTTCTCACCAGCCGCTTGCCAGCGACGGGCTTGACAGCGAGCGAGATGAGCATAAGAGTGAGTGAGTGAAACAATCATAAGAGCAAGTGAGATAAAAATAGTAGCGTGCAAAGAAGCTCGAGGATCTGGCTATTCATTGTACGCTGCTATTTCCCTCTCGCTCGCTCCCATCATCGTCTCGCTCGCTCCTGCTATTGTCTCGCTCGCACTCATCATCGTCTCGCTCGCTCCTGCTATCGTCTAAGCTGGCCGAAGAATCGTGAGTGAGACCGCGAGTGAAGAGCGAGCGAGATGACCTATCATCAAAGAAGAGTTCCGAACTCTTTTACAATGGACTTCCCCATCCCTCAAGTCACGAATGTAAACATTTTATAAAGTGAAAAGTAAAACCTTTATTTCGCATTTTATCGGTTTGAAAATAATTTTTATGAATTAATAAGAATTTTGCGATTAAAATGACATCAAACACGACATAAATCAGATAATTTTTAACTATACTTAACAAAAAATTAATTAATAAAAGCATTATTTGATTAAATCTGTGCCTGATTGCTTCAACGTTTGATACTTTTGTTCTTATTTACAATTTATTACAAATAAAGCTTTAACATAAAAATAAATAATGAATGTGCATGTGTTTAGACTAAAAATTTATTTTATATACATTATATATACATCAATGTGCACATTACTCTGTATTATCGATCTTTCGTGGACATAGCACGGAACGAAACCAAAAATTGTGCACATGGCTACGTAGTTCCAATGTCCACATTTTAGGTCCACAGGTGGCGTATCGCTTTCGCGGATCACGTAAAACCTGGCCGTGGCGTCTCTCAGGCTTCTCTCTGATATAGTATAGCTTAGTATAGCTTAGTATAGCAGTATGGCGTACGCCATATTATACTAAGCTATAAGCCGAGAGCACAAGCTTTTACATAAAGCATAACGCATAAGCATAAGGAAATTGATTGGTCTATATATAAGCATAAGCAAATGCATAAGGAAATGGACCAATCAATTTCCTTATGCTTATGTGTTATGCTTTATGCAAAAGTCTGTGCTCCGGCCAATACTATATACGCTATAATTCTCCATCTAGTAGGAACTAAAATGGCGGATAAGAATACCTACATATCTAGTGCCTTATGCTACTGTGCCATGTGTTTGCATGTCGGTGTGTTGTTACCGCGCGATGAACAATATTATAATATTAATTACATATATATATAACAATTCTAAATTGAAAAAACGACAATGAAACTATTAACTTAACAAATTTTGTTGTTCATTTTTGTTATGCACGACGAATGTCAGTGATTCCATGAATAATATAAACAATTGTAATATGACTATTTATATTAATGCATTAGTAGTGTTTAATGAATTAAATCATCGTTGAAAAAATTTCCGAAAAATAAATTGACGAAATGTGATCTTTTGTTACTGAAAAAAATTATAATTTCGATTGGTTTTTGTGAGTAGATTAGAAAAACAATGTTTCTAAAATTATTGATGCGGCCTTTAAATCTAGCAAGACATTTTAAATTTCGGATGTTTTGTCGTCATTTGTATCAAAACAGTGGTACAATAAATGAATCAATACCTGGAATGTCCATATCTCAAATAAAACAAGTTCTAAAGCAAAAAAATATTACCATTGTCGAAGGACATGGATGTTTAGTTATAGAATGTCCTATATGCAACTCTGAAAAGTTAAAAAAAAGCAAAGATTTATGTTAATAAAACAACAGGTAATAAATCATGAAATGCATAACGAGATAATTTATGAAAGTAATATAATATATTTAAAAAAATTTTTTTAAAACTTATTTATTACAGGCTATTTTATATGTGATAAATGTAATTCTAAAGGCGAATGGAACATATTAGAAAAGTTCCTATTATTAAGATCAACTAAATCAAATAATGCACAGGCTGAATTGGAAACTTTAAGGAATATTATAAAAGCACAGGAAAATTATGTTTTGAAATGGAATAACATAGCAAAATCTAATCAACAAATTGCAAATTTATCACCAAATTTGTATGAGAAAGTGTTAGAAACATTTTCTCTTCCAGTAAGATAACAAAATTAATACAAATTACAAGATTTATATATATAATTATATATAATTACATATAATATGAATATTTTATATATTAATAAACTATTGTTACAGAAAGTTTCACAGCAAGATATCTCACAGTTAAACACTGTGTATGCAACTGGACCAGAATTATTATATTTTCCATTAATAGCCTTTGGCAATATTGTTGTGGGTTACAAAACTCTTTCCAGTATATCAGAATTAGAACAAACTGTACCCATCAGCAATGTAGGTGGATTTATCATTTACAAGCAAAAAAATGCTAGAAGTGATGGGACTGCAGTGATTGTACCAACTATACATGATTTGTTCGCGTTAATATCTCAAAAAGCAGCAAATGTAATTATTTGCTTACCATACAACTTACAAAACTTGCCGCAACAATTGTTGCCGAGTTTGGAAAATTTTAAAAAATTAATATTATGGTTTGGAAATGATGAGCCTAGTTGGTATACAGCTAGACAATTTGCTAAGAAATTAGATGAGAAAAGATGCTATTTTGTGAGACCAATTGACATGCAACCTAGACCAAAGCTAGCTGCTGACAAAGGCTATGATCTTAAGAGTATTTTGACAAATGCGCAACCGATATGGCACAAAAGTATTACTACTTTTGATGATCTCAGACAAGATGTATTATGTGATTTGCAAAATGTAGATAAGGTCCAGGGTGTCAAGTGGAAAAGATATCCTGCCCTAAATCGAATTCTAAAAGGACACAGAAGAGGAGAATTCACAATTCTAACGGGACCAACTGGTAATATAATATTATATTAATTAAGATTATTCTATTGACACAATGGTTGAATTATTTGTATTTATATTAGTGCTTATAAAATTATATTTTTTTGTATATTAACATATTTTCAGGCTGCGGCAAGACAACGTTCATGAGCGAATATTCGTTAGATTTAGCAATGCAAGGAGTTAATACTCTGTGGGGTAGTTTTGAAATCAGAAACGCACGACTAGTTAAAACTATGTTGCAACAAATGGCAGAGGTTTCTCTGGAAGAGAATTTGGATAAATTTAATACATATGCAGATGCTTTCAACAAGTTACCGATTTATTTTATGACTTTCCATGGTCAACAGAACATTAAAATTGTTATGGATGTATGGAGCATATATTATATTATGTATAAGTAGAAAATTTAATATTATGTATATAAATATTTCTTCATTTTTTATTTTTATAAATTGCAGGCAGTTGAGCATGCAACGTACGTGCATGATATAGCACATGTGATAATTGACAATATGCAGTTTATGATGGGCATATCGGAAGAAGTGAGACATCTCGATAGGTGAGACAAAATATTTTACTTTCTTTTATCTCTTAAATTTAATTTTATTCACACACCATTACATTGCAGGTTTTGGAAACAGGACAAGATTATAGCAGAGTTCAGAAATTTTGCTACGAAGTATAACTGTCATGTAACGCTGGTTATACATCCGAGAAAGGAGCGAGAGGAAGAGTTGACGACTTTGTCCATTTTTGGTAGTGCCAAAGCAAGTCAAGAAGCCGACAATGTATTAATTATACAAGATAAACGACTCACGAGTGTAAGAGGAAAAAAGTATTTGCAGGTATATATCTAAACGTAAAATGATGAATTTTTTTATCTCAAATGTGATAAATTTAAAATTGTACATTTTTTATCGCTAGGTTGCCAAGAATAGATATAGTGGAGATTTAGGTGTAATGGTTTTGGATTTTGATAAAGTTAAACTCAGTTATGCGCAAAAGAAGAAAGTGAAGTCGGAGGAAGTAAAAGACTTGAAAGAAGTAGAGGACGCTCATAATTCTCTAGTAGAAAACTGAGTGATAAAAAAATGTTGTGATTAAAAAACATTAAAAATACATCTACAGCTATATATTTTAATTGCAGGTTGTATAAATTTCTACGATATTTTGTATGAAACTGAATAAAAAGTACAATATTTTCAATTATAAAAAACTATTTTGGTATAAAAAAATATTTGAAAAAATCATTTATATATTTATATATGTAATAGATCCATGAGATTGATTAAGTTATGTGATTTACCGTATATGGAGTTCTGTATTACCGATTGTGTACGCCCACACATTTGTAATAATGGGCAAAGCAATAGAGAACAATAGAGATCATGTTGGGTCGGCTCTCGGTATAATTTCCGTTCTTCTGTTTAGATCTTTCTAATAAATTACGTGACGAGGCATACGAACGAAACACATTCGTACGTTTATACGTGCGTCACAATGACCTTTCGAAAATACTTTTTCGTTTATTTCTTTATCAGATATACGTGCTTAATTACATGCGATGTGATATTGAAGGAGCCGACCGTGCTGATCGCAATTCTAGTCAGGAACAAAGCACACACGTTGCCATATTTTCTCAGCTTCTTGGAGCAGCAGGATTATCCTAAAAACCGGATATGTCTTTGGTGAGAAACAAAACATAACCTTACTCCGTCGCGCCGGTAACGATACATCAGAAAACGCAATAATAAGTCAATAATAATTATAAGTAGATAATAATTATAAGTGCTGATATAATAACAGTTACCTAATTAATCGAATTTAAATCTCAAATCGGAATTAAATTTTACGAAAACACATCTTCGTTATTTATAATTAATACTTATTTGGGTAATTATGCAGAATAGCCACGTCA